GCATATATTATTGTTGTTGTATTTATTGAGAGAGGGAGAACATGTATCATTGTGATTCTATTACTCAAGTGTAATAGATATTGGTAAATGTATAAAAAAAAAAAAAATGGACCTAAATTTACAGGCTTTGATAATATTTCCGAGTAATTAAAATTGGGGGGTGACAATGAACCTGGAGAAGCTATTACTGGACAGTGCGCTGGAGCCGCTTGTATTTGTTCTTATTGGTGCAATTAATTTATCCCATCTCTCTCAATATGTTTATTTTCAAGATCACGTGTATCTTATTTAACCTCATCATTAGAGGGTGCATAAATTTATAATAAAGGATTATATGCCTAACATATAAAATTCAGTGAATCGGATTTGACATAATTTGAATCCACTGATTATAAAATAATTTTAATCCGACCTTGATTGGATTATGACAAATTGAATAAGGGGCATTTGAATTTGAATCCGAATCCAATTTATCCAGAACCAATCCAAATCCCAAAAACCAAGTGAAAAAAACGAAAAAGAATCCGTTTCATTGCTTGATGAGGCCAGTGATAGAAAATTCATGCATTATATAAAATAACAAGTATTTTAGCAGGCAACCTGATTAGATTAAAATTTTGTTTTTAAATTAAAAAAAAAAAAAAAAACACTTGTTAGACCCAATCGGATATCTTTGAATCCAACCCGTTAATAATAGGATCAAATGGATTCGGGTTTAATTGAATTATTGGATTGGATTTTTTTAATGGATTCAATGATTTGAGTTGTTAATAATCGGGTAAAACGGATTCAAGTTTAATTGGATCATTAGATTATTTCTTTAATGGATTCAATGATTTGAGTTTGGATTGGGTCAAATTCAGGTCAATGTCTATGGTCTTAAAGAAAACAAAAACATTAGAAATCAAATGAATTATTAAATATTTTACATAATATTCAAGTAACTGCTAGACGTGACTCAAATGAGTTCCACACTCATATGAGTATTGTGTAAAATATTTAATAATTCATTTAAGGATCCTAATATTGCTGCAAAGAAAATAAAATTTGGATATGGATAAATTACATATTTAACTTTCATAGTTTGACTAGTATTTTATTTTGGTCCTATCGTCTCAAATTAAACAATTTTGTTCTCATATTTTAAGTTTAGCTTCGACTTAGTCTTTCCGTTTAAGTTAGAGGTCAAAATTAACAATTTTGGGATACTTGTCAGTTTCTTAAGAGGTACACAGCCTGAACAGATGGACTAAATTGAAAATGTACTTAAAGTGTAAGGATCGAATTATTCAAATTGAAATAATAAGAACTATAGAAAAATTTGAGTCAAAGTATTAGAGAAAAAAGGGCAATTTACCTTTTGGATATTTATCCTATCCTAAAGGAAAATTATTAGATTGAAAGTATCATGTGATGTTGTCTACATAGTATATTCGGCCAATGAAAAATCACAATGCCATCTTTTATACTAGTAGTACTCTGTACTGTGCAAATAATTTTATAATTCAAAGTGAGTCATTATAATCATTTTGTGGTAACTGTGTGAACTTTATATTTATTTTGTATGGTGTAAAAACATATATCAATCCATAATTTATGAAATTAAGGCAAAACTAATGCAAATAATTTATGAAATTAGGGTAAATTACAAATACAACTCCCAGGTTTCATTAAATATAAATCGCCCCTATGGTTCTAGAAATTACATTTCACCCCATGAGGTTTCTAATTTCATAACAAATCGCCTTTTTTATTAATAAATCGTCAAGTGAATTAACAGTTTTTAGTGATGTTAGAAACATATTTTAATTAATAATTTAAGTAATTTTATTATTGTATAGGAGAGCAATTATGAATTTCATTTTTTTAGTTAATTCTGTTAAATGAAAAATTATGATAAGGGAATACTTGTAATTTTTCAATTCACAAGGGGCCATTTGTACTTTAAGTAAATTTCAGGAGATGTATTTGTAATTTATCCACACAAAATTAATAACAATCAAAAATATAAGTGAAAGAATATTGTATTCTAAGAAAAAAATTTTAGAAATCAAATAAAAATACCAAAACCCATTTGAGCCATCCATATAAAATAAAAGGGTAAATTACAAATACATCTACTAAGGTTTGCTTAAAATACGCATTGCCCCCTGTAGTTTGGAAAATTACAAATACCTTCATGTCAGAATTTTTTATTTAACAGAATTAATTGAAAAAGTGAAATTTCGAACTATTCACCTATACAATAATAAAATTATTTGAATTATTAATTGAAATAAGATTTTAACATTATTAAAAATTGTTAATTTACTTGATGATTTATTAATAAAATGACCTATTTGTTATGAAATTAAAAACTTTAAGGAGCATAATGTAATTTTTAAAACCATAGGAGGTAATTTATAATTTAAATAAACCTTAGGGATGTGTTTGTAATTTACCCAACAAAAATAAAAATCACACACATTTTGAACTTGAAACACCTTGTGAAACCTGGAACACACATTTGGAAAAATTATCAGTACATAACTTAGTCACTAAGGTCAGTGAACAATTATCCACAATCAATTAATCACGAAGGTCATTGATAAGAAGTCTGAATATTCATATTAATTAAATAATCACTTCAGCTATATTATATTTAAAATCAATGTATTAAGACTTTAATACTTTTTGTTTCTGACGTCTGTTTCTTTGCAGATCTTCATCAGCCACCGAAAATTTTTCGTCAATCCTTCTTCCCAGGAACAGATCTGAAAACACTTCTTGGCCTTCCAATCCATAAACGAAAAGCCCCAGTATTACTAAACTTCATCCCTACATACAAATCCACCTTACCCGACGTTCCAAGAAAAATGAAGAAGAGTCTTTCTCCACCCACAGCCACAACCTTAACTGCTTCTACATCCCGAACAGATCAAGAGTCCACATCTAACCCAGCCGATCTTGCATCAACTTCGGCCCCCTACTTAAAACCAATTCCTGAACGTAAATGCCGACGAAGGCTTGTAAAGACTGCCGAAATGGTTCGTCCAAGGCCTGTCGTCCAAGACCTTCTCGCCGACCTTCCAACTGACGCCGAAGCCGCACCAACGCAATCAATGCTCCCACCCAAACCAAAGAGAGTAAAAAAGGCTCAGCCTAAGGCCAAGGCTACAGATGTCGAGGCTGAGGATGCTTTGCCGATTTCTAAACTAGTAGAAAGCAAAAAATCAGCCTCTACTTCAACCAAGAGGTCTGCTGAGGGCCAACCTTCAGGGTCTACACAAACAAAGAGGCCAAGGTCATCGTCTGCGACGACCTCGGCTTCGAAGAAGCCCGACGTCCCCTGGGCCCCTGATCTATCCCTGGAGGATAGACCCATTATGGCTAGCGAAAGTGCTGACGACATTAATGTTGCTGTCGCCCTTAGCACTGCTCTTCTTCTACCAAATGACTTGGAGCGAAATGGAAAGCTTAGTGAGTATGAAAAGTACGCTCTTATGCTCCAACACTCCGCTCAAGTAAGTATTTCTGTTTGTACTTGTGATTTTTTTTCCTTCTGTTTCTTTCTGAGAAAATTTTCTGATACTTCTGTTTTCATTCAGGCTATCCAACACGCCCATTCATTTTCAATGCAATCCTTTGAAAATCGTCAAAGATTGGTTGATATGAAGAGGGAAGCATCTTCAATGAAGAGAGAGATAAGGGCCCTTGAAGCAAAAATGAAAAAACTGGAGGATCAGGCCGAGGCTGCAACGAAAGTCCAAACTTTAGCTCTTGAGAAGGCCGAGGCTGCTGAAGCCGTTAAAAAAGTAGCTGAAGCCGAGAAAAGAGAGGCTGAGGCTAGGAAGGCTCAAGCGGAGAGAGAACTCCAGCAGGCTCTGGTCACCAAAGAGGCTGAAGTCAAAGAGGCCGATGAAAAGGCCTATGCTCAGGGCATGGCCGACGTCGCAGAAGACTACAAGCTTCAAGTCAGGCAGGCATGCAACAGGGGATTTTCCCTTGGTTGGATGTCCTTGATAAAGAAGCTTGATCTTCCTGCTAACTCGCCATTGCGTCAGGCTGACGCTATTCCTTTACCATTTCCCCCACCTCCTCCTGAAGGTGAATCAGAGTCTGAGGCCGATGCCGTGGATGAAGATGAAGAAAAAGATGAGGGTGAGGCCTTGGTGAGAAAACCCAAGGATGCTGCCGAAGCCAAGTCCCCTCCTCCTGCTGAGCAGGTTATGGACTTAACTTTGGATGAGGAGGGTGATGAGGTTGAGGGGGCACCCAAGGAGACTGCCACTGGGCAGCTATCGTCCAATCTTCTCTTGGTAGAAAGAAGTGTTGAGTCAATAATCGCTGAGATTGATGCCGAGATACAAGCGGAAAAAGTGGCCGACGAGGTACCACCAGAGTCGTCCGAGGTCCCAGTCCCTGCAGTGGCTAATACTGAAGAATCTTGAAAAAATTGTCCTTTGTACTTTTTTCCTTCTCTTTTCTGTTTTTTTTGTGCTTTGTACTTTTTTACTTTCTGGATAATGCAAAACTCTTTCTTTTGGCCGACGTGGTTTCTTCAATATGTAACTGCAACAGTTTTTTCTCTGGATGTTTTAATCTTGCGATATTCTGTTGACTGCTTTTGCATAGTCTTGTACTTAGAAAATTTTTTTGCATGTTTCTTCATGTTGCTTCCTTTGTGCAATCTCCTCGGGGTTCCATACCTCGGGTATAACCATAAAACTTTTACTTCGGCAAGATACTAACCTGCAAACTTTTCATAAATTTCAACAAGTATAGAACATATATTTCGGAATGTAAACTTTGCAAGCTTCTTCTCAATTCTTAACAAGTACTAAATGGTAATCTTAGTCTAATCTACTTGTAAATTGCTACAAATTTCAACAAGTAATGAACAATATACTTAGCCTTTATTTCAACCTGTACATTGCTGCAAGTTTCAACAGATGATCACATGTCGGCTTAACATTATCTTGTAAATTGTTACAAATTTCAACAAGTGTTAAGCATCTTCCCTAGGGTTTAAACAACCCACATATTGCTATGAGAACTTTAAGCAATAACCTTGGCATATCCTCGACTTGTAAATTGCTACAAATTTTAACAGTTGAAGATAAAGAATCAGCTTAATTCCAACTTGTAAATTGCTACAAATTTCAACAAGTGAAGATAAGGAATCAGCTTAATTCCAACTTGTAAATTGCTACAAATTTCAACAAATGAAGATAAGGAATCAGCTTAATTCCAACTTGTAAATTGCTACAAATTTCAACAAATGAAGAGAAACAATTATCTCG